GCGGGCCTCCTCTGGAGATGCAGGGCCGCCGCCTTCAAGAAGCAGCCTCCTTCTAAGAAGCCCTCCCCCATCCCTCCACCCCCTTGTGCGCGCCGCCAATAGAAGGCTGGTGAGATTGTCTCGTGCCCTTGCGAGTCCAGCGAGCGGCGGTGCCGCACGCAGATCCCATTGGGACGGTCGCTGCCAAAGGCTCAGCATGTCCCCGCTGTCTTCTGCCCCGGGGAGGTCCAGCGAGCTGCGGTCACATGCCGCCGGACTGCCGCCGCACGCAGATCCAAAGGCGATGTGCCCCCTTTGGTCGCGCAATTGCAGCCATTATGCTGCGCTGTTGGAGGGTCCAGCAAGGCGGTGCCTTGCGCAGATCCGAATGTTTAGGATATCAGCCAAACGTGCAAACGTGACGATTGTCTTTGGTCCTTGGGAGGTCCAGCGGAGTGGTGCCGCACGCAGATCCCCGTGGGACCTCGCCCCTCAGGTGACCGACGAACGTCTGACCATCGTCATGCTCCCGCGCCCTCGAGGGTCCAGCGCCGTGCCACTGCACACAGCCCCCCTAGGTGCTGCCAGCACCCTCGGAAGGCTCGACCCCTTGCCCTGAACTGGGTTTTCATGTCGAGCCGTCTGGTTGACGGCCGCGGTGCCCAGTGTATATATAACATGATATATATATATATATATAAAAGTAGATAAGGGCCCCTTGAGGCCCAAAATTGCGGAACGGAGCCCGTCGTCTTTTGCATCTCGATGAGAGCAGGTGGTGGTGTGGGGTGCATTTTGGCTTGAATGTCGAGCCGAAGCCGGCGCTGGCGACGAGAAGCCTCCCGGATGCCCATTGATAATCAAACAGCAGCAAACAATACCGATCTTCGAACTCCTTCCTTCCTCCAGGGGCGAAAAGGCTAAGGGTGCTTGCGTCTTTCGGCGCAGGCACCATGGTCCCTTTTCCGAACGCTGTGCTTTGCAAAACGCCAAAGGAATTGATTCGGCCTCCTCCTTCTTCTCCATCCCTCTTCCCTCCTCATCCTCCTCCTCATCCTCATCCTCATCCTCCTCCTCCGGCGCAGCTCGCTGGTGCGCGGCCCTGGGCAACGATGAGGCAGGCCCAGTCCACCAGAAGTTCCTGACCTTCGCGGCCCTGCGATGGACGGGGGAGGCCCTGCGCGACGACGCTCCTCGGGCCATGGCCTTGCAGCGCAGGGCCGCAGCTCAGGCCTTCGAGATCGAGCAGGGCCTGAAGAACCAGCGGGCCAAGGCGTGGCGTGAGAGGCTGCGCGATGGCTCTGCGGGGGGCGCTGGCTTCATCCACGGCATGTCCAAGTGGAAGCACAACGTCACCCCCACCCTCGGCGCCAGGGGCCACACCAACCTGGACATGTCCGACCCCCCCAGGTCGCCGTGGACGCCGCGGCCCTCGACTGGATCGACCTCTGGACCTCCCACGGCGCCGAGAGCCGCGGCGAGATCGACAGGCCATGGGAACGGGCGGGGTTCCCCCACAGCCTGGCCCGCCCCACCCCCGACGAGATTAGAATGATTGGCCGAGCCTTCCCCGAGCACACGGGAGTGAGGGCGGAGCTAAATGAAGAACGTGGATTAGTAGGTGCCACTGAGATAGTTTTGGACGAGCAAGTAGAATATGGATCGGGTAAGCATTGGAAAATGTATGGCTCATTCCAGCATTATCTGGGAACGACAACCAGCATCCGAGGTGGTGGGGGTTCCCGAGTGACAGGGGCCTCGAACCCCTGGCCGCTCCTGTGGCCTTCGTCTCCCGCACGGCGCGCGGGCCCCCCCCCCAGCGTGCGGTGCGTGGTATGTTTCCAGCGTTCCAAGCCGTCGGGGGGTACGGGGCCCCTCGGCCTCCTCACCACGAGCGCGAGGCTGGTCGAGCGAGCCCACGCGAGCTTCTTTTTGTTCGACTGGGAGCGGTCGATGCGTCGCGGTTGCGATGCCGCTGCCCCCCTGAGGGCGGCCCCGAAGAGGCGATGCGGCAGCAGATGTTAGTTGATGGGGGAGCCCCTCCCGGCGAGACGTCGGGCACGGGAGTTTGGGATCTCCTCCAAGCTTTCGAACATTGCAGTATGTACCTCCTGTGGGTCGAGGCGCCCAAGCACTGATTCCCGCCCCAGCTTTTGAAACTCCTGATCTCTATTTCGACTAGTGAGCATTTAGTGACTTTTTTTCGGGGAGTTGTCTCTATCCACGCTGTGGTCACTTTCTCGGCGGTGGTGGCGGGGAGTACGGGGGGGACTCGCTGTCTGAAGCTAGCCATGCTCACGGTCACGGACTCGTTGTCTCGCATGTGTCCGACCTTCTTTCTTAAGCTGTATGTTGAGTACCTCAGCCTTCAGGCTAGAGGCTCGGAGGAAGCAGTTTCGGTCCAGCTGCATGATGGTATCACCCGATATGTCGAGGCCATGGAGGCCGGGGGTATCCCCGTTTCCAGGACCAGGCCAGGTGGCCCTCCAGGGAAAGGCTTTGATTATGGCGGCCAGCGCTTCTCTCAGGGTCCGAATTCGAGGGTGGGCCCAAAGTCTTGGCCTGACCGTCCTGGGTCACAGCTCCCATCTGGGGGTGGATTCGGCTGGAGGCGCCCCGATCCACGCCGGGCGTAGGTTCGATGAGAGACTGGCCAGTGCCCGCCGTCGGAAGCTCAAGCTCAGTAGTCTAGCCAAGCAGGGGGGCAGGCCATTTAAGGTCGTTCGAATCGGGTTCATGCCGTCGGTTCTGCACGGTACTGCGCGTCTGCGCCTGGACCCCTCTCGAACCGACCAGGCCCGAATTCTCATGGCTAGCGCTCGTGGGGGAACTCGGTCGGTAAGGATCGGACCCTTCGGCTTTGGTCCCTCCAATGCGACCCCCTGGTGGATGCCTGCACGCGGCCCCTGGTCAAGTGGGCGTCGGCTGTGCGGCAAGGCCGCCACGAGGTGCTGATGCAGCAGGCCTGGAGGCGGGCCTCGGTCGCGGCCGCGCAGGCGAAGCCTGGCCGCAGCCTCTGGAGAAGTATAAGAGGTCCTGCTTCTGCCGTGCTTGCCACTCTCCGTCGCACGTCATGGAGTTGGCCCTCGTTCTCTGGTTTTCGGGACCACCTGGGGGAGTATTGGGACCTTCGCCGCGTCGCTCCCACCTGTCTCCAAACATTGATTTTTGCTCGGCTTGAGTTTGCCGAGCTTTCGGCTTGGGCCGTCGCCAGAAGCCTTGGGATTGCTCGGCCCTTCCTGGAGCCCGTCAGGGCTCTCCTCCGCCGCAGGGCTAGTCGATCGCCGCAGAGGAGATCGGCTATCCTCGCTTACCTCGGGCGCGATTTTTGGAACCAAGAAAATCTGGCGGGCTGGCTTTGGGGACGACAGGTCCTGCCAGTCGCGCGGTTTCCAGGTGGGCTGCCAGCACCACCGCATGTGCCGTTGCCCTCGTCAGGAAGCCGCTCGGGCAGAAACAGCCGAGGCGGAGAATCTCAATGGCATCGCGCATCGAGCTGAGCCCTCTTCCTCGGACTCCCCTCTCCTCTCGCGTGGTATTGTCGAGCGGTCGGCGACTGGGCCTACTCCGACGGCTCGGGCAGAGGCCCGCCAGGGCTCAAGAGTTTTGGTTGGGGTTTTGTTTTTCTGGACCAGGAAGGGGGCCGTGGCTCGGGCCACGCATGGCTCCCTCCCTGGGCTCCGATGCCAGGCGTCTGTTCTCCGTGCCGAGATTTATGGTCCGATGAAGGCCCTCGAATGCGCCGCCCCTCCCCTCCGAGCCGGCATCGATAATAGCACCGTCATCCGAGGTTTGAGGCGTGGTCGCAAGTGGTGTTGCTCTCCCAAGCGGCCTCGCGCCGATCTTTGGGACCGCGTCTGGTCCCTGCTCCAGGAAAGTTTTCCTGGGGACGGCGATTTTGCCTTCGCGAAAGTTCGCGCCCACACCCGTGGGCCTCGGGGCGACTCTCATAAGGCCGTGCTCGATTGCCAGGGGAACCAGTTAGCTGGCGCGGAGGCCAAGGCGGGTGCCGATCTGCAGGCGATTCCCCAGTGGAAGAGCGCCACCTGGACCTCGCGGTCCGATGAGGTGCAGGGGGTGCTCAGTCTGGTAGCGGGGGTGACTGTTCGGACGGAGGGCTTCGAGGATTCCACGGGGAGGCCCGCCGCAGGCTCCGTCGGGCCCCGTCAGCGCCGCCAAGGCCCACCAGCGGGGGAGAAAGCCCACGCCTTGGTCTGGTCTCGGGGGGCCTGGAGGTGCACGGTCTGTTGTAGGTATGCCTTGCCCCCCAAGGCCAAGAAGCCCTGAGGCGCAAGCCGTGCATGGGGAAGGTTCGGGCGGACCGTCGTTTCGTCGTGGAGCGGGGGGATGGGGAGCACCTTCTCCCACCAGCCCTGCGCGGTGAGGCCATCGGCCATGATTCGCACCACGCGGGCCAATTTACCTTTTGCGATCGGTGCGGTGTCTTTTCGAGCGAGCGGGGATGTAAGTTGGTTCAGGTGTGCGGCGGTCGGCCCGCCAACACAACCGCCGATTATCGCCGCTCGCTCCTGCGCCGATGCAGACACCCTTATAACGTGAAGCTCTTCCTGGGCGAGGCGTGCCGCTCACTGTTACAGTGTGAGCGGGACGCCTACTGGGAGAGAGCGCTGGACTGAGGAGTGGGCGGGCGAGTGGCGGCACCTTCTCAGTGCGCCCGCCCGTCCACTTAATTTCCCCGAAGGCTGACTGAAGCAAGGTGGTGCCAGGTTGGTTTTAGCAGCAAAACCTCCTCCTCCTCCTCCTCCTCCTCCTCCTCCTCTTCCTCCTCCTCCTCCTCCTCTTCCTCCTCCTCCTCCTCCTCCTCCTCCTCCTCCTCCTCCCCTTCCTCCTCCTCCTCCTCTCCTCCTCCTCCCCCTCCTCCTCCTCCTCCTCCCCCTGCCTCCTCCCTCCTCCCTCCTCCTCCTCCCTCCTCCTCCTCCTCCTCTCCTCTCCTCCTCCTCCTCCTCCTCCTCCTCCTCCTTTGCGCGCCCCCCCCCCTCCCGAAGCACAGCGCCCAGGAGCTGCTGGGCGCGGCCGAGCAGTCTGGCGCACGCCTCCTCATCGCCGCCGGGGCCCTCCCTGGGATGGACTGGATGTCGTCGGCGGCGCTCGAGGCCGCCGACGACGACAGCGACTGCGGCAACCGCGGCAACGACGCCGACGGAGACGGCGACGCCGGCGACGACGCTGGCGGCTGCGGCGGCGGCGACGACGCTACAGACGACGGCGGCGGTGGCGATCACCACTACCACGACGACGGTAGCGACGACCACGGCGACAACGCCGCCGACGACGACGAGCACTTCGGCTGCGCCGCCGAGCGCGAGGGCGACGACGAGGACAGCAGCGGCGGTGGGGGCGGCCGCCGCGCTCGAGGAGGTCGAGGCCGTGTCCATCACCCAGATCAAGCGGCCAGAGGGCTGGACCGCCTGCCAATCGGGCCGCACGAAAGGGCAGGATAGGGAAAGGGGGTCCAAAATCTGCTGCATGCAGCTGGTTTCCACCCCGCCGCTGGGCCCATTCCTCGTTGCTTGGGCGCCTCCTGGCGCCAGGAGGCCCCAGGAAGACCAGCTGCGCGAGCTGATTCTCTACCCTGCCCTGTGTTATCCGACTTGTCCGTCCCCCCTGAGCAAAGCCCCATGTCTGTGGTTCAAAGATGGGGTCCTGAGGGGTGGGGGCCCAAGGATAGAAAGGGATCCAAAGGTGGATTTACGCCGTTTGAGGCACCTCGTCCTCAGGACCCCGTCCTTCAGGAGCCCATATTTGCATCACTGACCAGGGGCCCCATGGCGCACGAGGGGCCCGTCCCAAACCCTAGAGCGCAGAGAATCGAAGAACGATCACTGCATATAACGTCTAAGAGTCTCTAGCAGCCCCCCTCTCCTCCAGTAGTGGGAGCGACCCATCTTTTCGACGGCCTGATTGACGGACTGGGGCCCCACCGATAGTGGAGCATACTAAAGTACTTATTTATCCGCGGCACCCGCCGCGCAACGACGACGACGACGACGACGACGACGACGACGACGACGACGACGACGACGACGACGACGACGACTACGATAGGGGGGGAAGAGGAGGGGGAGGACGAGGAGGAGGAGGAGGAGGAGGAGGAGGAGCAGGCGGAGGAGGGGGCGAGGTGGGGGAGGAAGAGGAGGAGGAGGGAGGAGGAGGAGGAGAGCAGGAGGAGGAGGGAAGGGGGGAGGAGGAGGAGGAGGAGGAGGAGGAGGGAGGAGGAGGAGGAGGAGGAGGAGGAGGAGGAGGAGGGGGAGGGGGAGGAGGGACGGGGAGGAGGAGGAGGGAGGAGGAGGAGGAGGAGGAGAGGAGGGAGGAGGGAGGAGGGAGGAGGAGGAGGAGGAGGGAGGAGGGAGGAGGAGAAGAGGAGAAGAGGAGGAGGAGGAGGAAGAGGAGGAGGAGGAGGAGAAGGCAGAGGATGAGGGACGAGTTCTATTCCCCGTCGATTCAATAGGAGAGAATCAAACCAAAGACCTTCAGAGGCTGAACAGGCGCTGGGCCAACATTGGAGGCGACCTTGAACAATTTGGCACGCTTCGCTCGCCGACGAGGGGCCAGCGCCTATCCAAGAAATCTGCGCGAATCTCCAGAAGGTTGCGTGTTGTGGCGTGTTTGTTTTGTCTTTCCAGAGGAGACCACGCCCTGGCTCTTGGATGGGGAGCTCTCTTGCATGGGGAGGGTGGCGAGGAGGGGAGCATCTTTGGGCCATCCTGGTGCTATCTCCGGGTCTCTTCGGGGCTCACGGGGCCCGTACGCGGGGCCTGGGATCAGGGAGGCCCGAGATGGCCAAGGAGTCCGACGACGACGAGCGACGACGAAGAGAAAGGATTCGGAGCTCTATAGCACAGCAGTGCAAGAGGGATTCGAGCCGAGGTCAGGGCGTCGGAGGTCCTGGGTCTCCTACGTCAGCCGCCCATCGCTTGGGCGGCCCGAGCCCCAACCCTCTTGGACCGGCCCCCACGCCCTACAACTAATTGTTGACGCTTCGCGTATCCCCACCAGAGCTCGCTGCCCTCTTTTCTTGGCGCTGCCGCGCGCCCCGGCTGGCGTACACTCTCGCACCTTTTTTTCTCGCTCTGGCCTCGCTCCCATCAGGTTTGCAGCCGGTGACAGGCGCCGCCATGGCGACTTCCCTGCCGTTCCAGTTCCGCCCCGGTGCTGGTCGCCGCGCTCGTCCCCACGCGTCGGGATGCTCGGCTGATCCTCTGGTCGCGTTAAGCTGCTGGTGCCTGCCCGGAGGGCGGTCTCAGCGCCGACTCGCCGCCGGTCGCCACGGTGGTTTTACCGCCGGGACGTCTACGCTGGCTTGAGCGGTCAATTTGGGCTTGGACCCTCGCACGTGCATATGCCACTGCGGCCAATTAGCTTCGTTCGCGCCCCGTTCGTTGTTGACTCGCTTCTTGACCTTCGCCTTGGAGCCGCGACCAAAAAGTATCCCCACCAGCTCAGTCAGTCAGCCCTCGCCTTGCTGCCCCAGCGGCCGCCTGGTGAGCTGGCCCGGCCGGCCTGTTCTGCGCCCTGCAGCCAATTAGGTTTGTTCGCTGCCCCAGACAACTTCTGTCGCCGCGCGCGCTCTTCGCTCGCGGCCGCGACCCAAAAAGTATCCCCCTCAGCCTCCGCTCGCCGGCCTGGCCGCCGAGGTGCCGCGCGAGGCTTCGGCCCACCGTTTTAGGTTAATTCGTCTTTGCGCGGCCCGCTCTGACTGGACTCGCCGCTGGCGCTCTCGCCTGCGGCCGCTGACTACAAAAGTATCCCCACCCGCCCATCCAGAAGCGATGCCCAGGGGAGTTGAGGTGATCAGGGAAGTGGTGGAGCATGCAGAAGAACGAAGGGCGGGGGAAGCCGTCCGATACCCCAAGAGTGAGAGGATGGTGGAGGAGATGGAGAAGGAGCAGGAGGAGAAGGAGGAGAGCGACGAGGAGGAAGGAGGAAGAGACAGTGGACGAGGAGGAAGAGGAGGAGGAGGAGGAGGAGGAGGAGAAGAAGAAAGAGGAAGAGGAGGAGGGATATCTTGGCGAGCGTGGGCTCACTTTTGAGCGGTTTGGATGCCTCGGGCATCCTCGTGAAGCCTCTTGGGGGTCTCTTGGGAGCTTCTCGAAGGTTTCCTGGCGCCGCTTGGGGCCGTCTGGGCGCCTCTTGGGGCCCTCTTGGGGCGCTCGTGGGAGCTTCAGGGGCGCTTTTGGCGTCATCTTGGAGGAAATCTATCAAAAAGAGGGGAGCTCCAATTGGCCTCCCTCCTCGGAACACCGAAAATTGTCTCCTGGACCCCTCTTGGAGCGCTCTTGGGGCCGTCTTGAGGCTCTCTTGAGCCTCTCGGGGGGCCCTCTTGGGCCATTTCGGAGCCATCTTGAGGCCTCGAAATGTTATCGGAAGCGAAACGGCAGGAAAGCTAAAGGCATTGTTGTTCCTTTCGTGTTTGAAGGGTTTGGGCCTCTTGGGGGTCTCCCTGGAGGTCTCGGAGGCCACCCGGAGCCGTTTTGGAGCGTTCTTGGGGCCTCGTGGAGCGTCTTCGGAGCCATCTTGAGGCATCTTAAGCTATCGTGAGCCATTTTGGAGGTCATCTTGACCTCTCCGAGGCGTTCCTCGAGCCGCCGTGGCCCATCTTAGACGCTCCGACTACCCGCGACCACCCCCGTCCAGGTCCAGAGGAAGGGGGTAGGAGGGAGGGGTAAACCCCTCCTCGAAGGGGAAGAAGGGGGGTGGAAGAGAAGCCGCCCTAGACCACCTATGCCCGGAGGGCTGGTGGGATTCCTTCCGAAAAGCTTGTACGCGCGAGTCCCTCAAGCCGCGGCGTCTGGTAGGAAGTCGTGGAGCGGGGGCTACCGTTCGAGGCACCTTCAGGGAAGTCGCCCCCGAAGAGGGCTGAAGAGAGCCTGCTCGTGGAGAATGCTGTGTGCCCGCGCGCTTGGGCCACGAATTCAAGCTGGACGCCACGAGGTGGGGGCCTACAGGTACGCCCCTCCCGGCCTGGCCAGGAGCGCTTCTCTACTCATGTCGGGCCCAGAGTGCCCCAGGGTTCCCGTCTGAGCCCGTTCGGCGTCTGAGCCCGCCGCCTGCCGCATGGGCAGCCCACCGGGCTCAGCTCTGGCAGGAGCGACGGCACTGAGCCCGCTCGGCCGCCGAATGGAGGAGGAGGAGGAGGAGGAGGAGGAGGAGGAGGATAAGAAGGAGGAGGAGGAGGAGGAGGAGGAGGAGGAGGAGGAGGAGGAGGGAGGAGGAGGAGGAGGAGAGGAGGAGGAGGGAGGAGGAGGAGGAGGAGGAGGTTCGACTGTGGGCCCACTCGGCCGCCGAGTGGCCTCGGACGCCGAGCGGGTTCGGCTGGCATCCGGGGGATGGGCGAGATCGGTGCACCGGTGCGCGTCGCTGGCCTCAGCGCACAGGACCGGCACGCCGGCGGAGGAGCGGGTGGACCTCGCCGGCATCTCGGCGGCCACCACCGTCTACGAGGGCTCGGCCCGAGAGGCGGCGACGCTGTTCCCCAAGAACGCCAACATATCCGCCGCGCTGGCGCTGGCGACGGTGGGGCTCGACGCCGCCAAGGTCCTCGTCCAGGGGCCACGCGACCTCCTCCTCCTCCTCCTCCTCCTCCTCCTCCTCCTGCCCCTCCTCCTCCTCCACCTCTCCTCCTCCTCCTCCTCCTCCTCCTCCTCCTCCTCCGTCCTCCTCCCTCCCTCCCTCCTCCTCCTCCTCCTCCTCCTCCTCCCTCCTCCCTCCTCCTCCTCCTCCTCCTCCTCCTCTCTCTCCTCCTCCTCCTCCTCTCCTCCTCCCTCCGCATCCCCCTCCTCCTCCTGCTCCTCCTCTCCTCCTCCTCCTCCTGCTCCTCCTCCTCCTCCTCCTGCTCCTCCTCCTCCTCCTCCTCCTCCTCCTCCTCCTCCTCCTCCTCCTCCTCCTCCTAAGAGGGGATCGAACCAGGGGGGGGGACGCACCGACCCGCCAAATCGCCCCTGCCTTGCCGACAGGGGGCGTCAGGAGCCTGCGGTTTCGCCCTCGGGGGCCCATCGCCCAGCGGTCGGCGATGCGTCGCCAGCTCCAGGTCGAGACGTTTGCCCCCTGAGCCAGTCCCCCCGTGACGTTCCCCTTGTGAGCACGTCCGTGCCCACGGCCTCTCAATCCTGGGTTCCTCGGCCTCGGCCCCGAGTCGGAGGTCGTCGCTCACGCGCAGAAGCGGGGTGGTGGGGGGGGGGAGGGAGGGGGCGCTTCTTGGGAGGAGGCCGCCGCACAGACGGCGCGGGCCTCGGCCTCTGGGAGGCAGCCTCTTGCCATGAAGCCCCCCTCCCCCCCCCCCCTCCCCCTGCCCCCGTTTGGTGCGCGCCGTGGGCGATGGGCCCCCCCGCCCTGCAGAGTCCGTGCGCGGCTTGCCCTGTCTCTCGGCTCTCGCGGGGGCGTTGCGCCCGCAGCTGTTTCTTGAGGGCCTGCGCCCGCCGAGGTGGTCGTGGTTCCCCGGGTCGTTTTCTCGAGAGGGTGCTCTGCTCGAGGGGGCCGCAGTCCACCCCCGACCGTGGATGCGGGGCGGCGCTGCGCGGATGCACCGCGCCCGCGTTTCCCTGCGAGCGCGCCTGGGCTTCCACGCCCCGAGGGCATCCAGACATCCGATGTCTCGGGGCTGGAAGGGGATTTGCATACGCGCGCGTCTAGAGGGCAGGGGATGCGAGCCCAGGCCTCATGGTGAGATCTGGGAAGCTTGCGGCTTTTATTTCCGATGATCGAGACACGGTGTCCGATTTTATGTATGCTCGAAAACCAGCAGATTCAACGCAACTAGTTTGCACGAGCGGTCTTGTCGACGATTGGTGACAACGCACATGCGTTAGCTAATGTTGGCAATGCATGAGACAAAACATCTCCCTAGCTTGCGCGCCTGATTCGCATGTACGTTTGCCCCCGCCAGGGAAGATGGAGGATGGATGGGGATGCGAGGCGGCCGAGCAGGCCGACGGTGACGACAAGAGGTCAGGATGGAGGAGAATAGAGCGAAGATGCTGAGTGAGGCAGGCGCGTAAGGAACAATTTCTGGAGATTCAGCGGCCGTCGCTTTCTTGGCGCCGCAGATTATCCACCCGCGCCATGGTTGCGATTTTAATGTAAACGCGCATGGCGCCCTTTGGCGGCCCGGAGAGCTTCGGGGCCAAACCAAGCGCGCGATGCGACGGGGCTCTTCATGTGGGAGTGCGTCGTGGCGGGGCCCCGCAGCGAGTCATAGCGACAATTCAAAACTACCCCAGCAGCTGCTCAAGCGGACTCACTCGACGCGCTATTCCGACGGAGGGGCCGCGCGCGCGCCCGCCCTGGGGGCGTCGAGCGGCGCCGGCGCGCAAGCGCGAACGGACTGGGGGCCTTTGTGTCACGGCGGCAGCTCGCGGGCCCGCGCCGGCGGCAGCCAGGGCTCGTTTCGATTCCTCCGACTCGATTCGATTCGACTTCGGTGGCTCCGGATTCCGATTCGATTCGGTTTCGGATTCCGATTTGGCCTCCGATTTCTCATTGGAGGCATACTCGCCTGCCGATTTCCGCCGATTCGGCTTTTCCCGACTTGGCTGCCGATGTCCGCCGATCCGATTCCTGTCGGTCGCCGATCCGACTTCTCGATTCGATTCCGGGCTCTCCTGCATTGCCCCCGCAGTTGCGCCTGGCGCATCTTCGCGCGGCGCCAGGCCGGCGCAGCCCGCGATCGCGCGGGCGACGCCGCGCCGTCTTGGCAGCGCGCGCCCCCCAGGCGTCTGCGCCGCGTCGACGGCGCGCGCCCGCGCCCGAGGCTTCCGTCGCGCCGCGGCGAGGACGCGCGCGGCCGCGGTGGGCGCGCGACGCCGCGGCGGCGGACGCTCGCCGCGCCTCCCAGGGGGGGCGCCGCGGCCCAGTGGCAGCGCGCAGCCGAGCGCTCTGGGCCGCGCAGCGCAGGGCCGCGCGCCCTCGGGCCCCGCGCGCGCCATCCGAGAGCGCAACGGGGCCCGGCGGGGCAGATCGCGCGGAGACGAGGCCGACGGGCGAAGTTTCGCGCTCGGTCGAAACCGCCATTCACCGCCATGCCGCTGGCGGGCGGCCGACGCGCCGGCGCCGCTCGGCTTCGCGCCGGCTCCGAGGCTCGGCGCGCCAGGAGGCGCCCGTGGCTGGGAAGAGCGGTCGGGCGGCCGCGTCGCCTGCGGATCGGATTTGCTCGCGGGGGCGCAGCAGCTGAAGTGGCACGCGCAGAGTGCCCTCGCCCTACACTCGGCGATGGAATCAGGGGGCAGATGGTCCATCGCGTCGCCGTGCAGCTGCGCGACTTCGCCCCTGGCCCCATTGGAACCCCGGGCGGCGGGGCCCCCGGGCATCCTCTGCCGATCGGCCGTTGGGTGCCCCGTACAATGGGGCGGCCAGGGGGGGGAGGGGGCATCGGAGTCGCGCGAGCCAACCACGTGCGCAAACGGCCAGGTGGTCCTGCAGATCAGCTCGAGGGCACGGGCGCATCGGCGGAGTTGTCCGCAACGCCCCGCTGTTCTCAGGGAGACTGCGTGCGTCGCTAGCAGGGATGGGGCCACGACCGCGGCGGCGTAGTGACATCATCGACGCATTGCGCAGGTAGTGTTTCGGGGTTGCGGGTCGGAGTCTGGGGAAGGCGCGTTGCGTGCATGCCTTTGGTCCGAGCGCGATGGCATGGGCGCCGGAGTTTCGTGCGAAGCTTCGGCTTCCAGACCTTCGTGTTGAAGTGCGGGCTGCGTTGCGTTGGGTTCGCAGGTCGGCCTTTTGCAAAATGTCCCCCGCCCGGAGGCGCACGGATATCAATGGCTCCCTAGACCAGACCCCCGTCGGACCCCAACCGACGTCTTGATTGTTTCACTGGGCCTCCAGAATTCCCGACCCCTTCCCCTAGGGACGGCTTTTCATCCCGGGCCGATTCTCCGACGGCCCCTTGGGATGGGCGGGGGGGCCCCAGAGGCTTGAAACGGCCAAGCCAAATCCGCCGCGGCGGTTGCTCGCGATGCGAGCGTGGACAGGCACACGTCCTCGAGGAAAACAAAAACAGCACAAACCTAAACGTCGGGAACCCCGCGCGAGAGCGGAGGTTCGACAGTTTTGGTTCACGCATGTTGAACGTTCATCCGCTTGCCTCACTCCACTGTCCCATTTGCATCAGAGTGGCTCTGTTGGCATGCTCATGGCGAGCGAAAGGGAGGATGAGGAGGAGGTGGGGAAGGATGGGGAGGAGGTCTTTCGGCGTTCGGGGCACTCCTGGAGCCAAAGTGAAGCGTGGACGAGACGCCTCCTCTTTGGAAGGTTTATCTAGGTCACCCCCAGAGGCGCGAATATAATGAGTGGTATTATTGCTCGTCGCTCGTGAGGTCCACCTGGTGGCCGACCCGGCGGTGTCGGGCCCGACCCAGAGGATCGAGCTGCGCGGCGCCGCGGGCGATCTCAGCATCGAGGTGCGCGGCCGCCCCGCATTCGGGAGCCAGCGCACGTCGATGGTGGTCCCGCTGTCTGTCGTGAAGGCTCGGCGGCACGCACAGGGGGTAACGCAAGAGGGGGCCAGCCGTCAAGGGCACTCTGAAAAACAAGGTGTGCTAAAAATGTTGCACAACATATTGCCTTCACACATCGTTGCTTGCAGCAAGACAAGCGCTCGCCTTCAAAAGAGGCTTAAGAGTTATGCCTTCAATGGGCAAGGTTGTCTTCAGAGAAGAGATGCCGCCTTCAGTGAACATCTGTGCACTCATTTGGCCCAGGAGCCTCTGAGAAGATTTCTTTAGAGGCCCGCGTGCACCTCTAAGCAGGCCCGTGCCTCCTTAGAAGCCCCCCACACACCTTCTGAGAAGGCCGCCCCCTCGCGCTTTCCCACTCGTGCGCGCCGCCGCGAGGCGATCCGGAACCTGTCGTCGCCCGTGTTCATCGGGGTGTGAGCTCTCAAGGGGCGTCGGCTTGCCCCCGTCCCCAGACGCGGAGGAGGCGGGCGAGTTGAGACAACGCCGGTTGGCCTTCGGGGGCGGGGGGGGGCCCTCGTCGCTGCGGCCGGGCGCAGCTCGGACCGCCGGTGCCTTTGGGACCCCGTGAGTGGTGGACCGATGCGGAGCTTCCGCTGTCTCCACTTGTCGGGGGTGGACAGAACCCCCAACAGTGACATGTCGATTAGTGAATTGTCCGTTTTCGGTTCTCGAGAGGGCGCCGTGGCCGTTATTTTCCAGGCGTGCGCCCGCCAGGTTTGGGCCTCAGGTCGTTTTCACTAAACCACGTTTCACTAAAGGGGGGTCTGTCCATCCCCGAACTTGCTTGGCGCTCGAGACCCAGACTCAGACCTCCGAGGTCGTGCTTCCCGCCAAGGCCGGGGCCGCCCCCCGGAGCTCCGGACGCCCCGTCCCCGCGGGGCCGGGCGCTATTCCCTCGCGGGGTCGCCCCGGGGTGGCCCCCCGGGGGCCCGCCGCGGGCCGCCGGAAAAGCCCAGGCTTGGGAGAGCCGACCGCCGTGGCTTCAGAAAACGGTTCTTGCATTAATGGAGGATGACGGTTCATAAATGACCGGGGGTCGTGTTCACGCGGCGGCGCCCGGGATGACGATCAGAAAAAACCGGCCGCGGGCTGGAAAACTGTTTCTTTATTGTTCTCCTCCATGGCAGTCAGGAAATGATGCAGCAATTTTGAAAAATACTATTTGTTTAATCGTTCTCTCCCATTTTTTTATTGATCGTCATCCCGCATTATGTCGGGCCTGTCCCCCTGCAGGAGGGGTATTCAGGAACAGTCCAAACGTAGTCCGTGGATGTGTGTTTTACCATGTTGGAGCATGTGTTGCGAATGTTTGTCGGCAGCTCGTCCACTATCGGCCCGTGGGGGGACAGGCCCGGCCCAAGTCTTGCCCGACTTCGCAAAACGTGGTTGCACATGTTGTTTGATTCACCGAAAAAGGGTTGCCGTATGCAAGTGCCGTGGTTTTTGTTTCCGACGCCCGGAGGTTGTCTGGGTCCCGAGGCCTCCTCCCGGGAGCTCGAGGCGATGGGCGCGGCACGCCGAGAAAAGGGGCGGGCCGCGCAGCAGGCGGCTCCCACTCCGGATGGCTTCCATGGGGGTCAAGTCTTAAGTCGGGCATGTCCCTCTACAGGAGGAATCTTCAAAAATATAGTCGAAGAATAGTCTGGGGGCAATGCTTTCATTATTGCTGGACTTGTTTGGGCTGTGTGGTGCGTATGTTTCCTTGTTCCTCCCAAGTCCGCCTGTAGGGGGACACGCCCGACCTAAGACAAAACCGAGCCCGACCCCATCAGTGACGTCAGCGGAACTGCCCTGGGCGTTTACTAAACAGCCTTCCCTTGTTCCGTTTACTAAACAACCGGTCCCTATCCCTATCCCTGCTCCGTTTACTAAACAGCGAGGACGGGTAGGAGCAGCATGTATGTGGCGATCCGCACCACAGCACCTGTGTGCATCACAGTGCCTGCATGCACCGCAGCGCCTGTGTACACCACAGTGCCTATGTACACCACAGCAGCCGCGTGCAACACAGCGCCAGTGTGCACCACAGAGCCTACATGCACCACAGCGCTTGTGCACACCACAGCGCCTGTGTACACCGCAACAGCCGTATGCACCAGTGCAACCCACCGTGCAAGCGTGCACCACAGCGCCTGTGTACACCACGGCGCCCGTGTGCACAACATCAACCGTGCGCAACCGTGCACAACATCAACCGTGCACAACATCAACCATGTTCCAAGAAGGCCTTATAACAAAATGGAGCGCCAGTGGATACCACAGGAAAACAATGTTTCACAGTGGATGTGGAAAGCAATCCTTATGGAAAAGAAGCACCTCTGGAATCTACGACTCCTCCCGAGTCCTCCCGCATCATTCTAATTTTTCCCAACGCTTCCAGACGCAGAGTTGGCCGTCCGAGATCTAAGTGGACTGATTCAAAAGACCATGCCTCCAGGATGCGCAGCGAGAAGCTTTCATGCGTTGTAGCGCAGACCCATTGAGGGAGCAGGAAGAGGAGGAGCAGGAGGAGGAGGAGGAGGAGGAGTTGGAGTTGGAGGTGGAGGTGGAGGAGGAGGATGGGACGACGAGGAGGAGGAGGAAAGAAGATCACATTCTATTATCAGCACTCCTCTCGCGTTGTGTTGAGCTGTCCGTTGCAGATCCTGACCTACATGCTCCGTCGACCTGTCCAGTGCACGCAGGCATTATGGTGTACACCAGCGCTGTGTTGCACGCGGAGGCTGTGGTGTACACAGGCGCTGTGGTGTGCACAGGCGCTACAGTGCACGCAAGCACTGTGGTGTACACAGGCGCTGTGTTGCAGACGGCTTCTGCGGTGTACACATTCGGTGTGGTGTACGCAAGCGCTGTGGCGCACGCAAACATTGTGGTGTACACAGGCGCTGCGTTGCACACGGCTGTTGCGGTGTACGCGGGCGCTGGTGTATACGCACGCTGTGGTGCACGCAAGCATTGTGGTGTACACAGGCGTTACGTTGCATACGGCTGTTGCGGTGTACACAGGCGCTGTGGTGTACACGCTGTGGTGCACGCGAGCTTTATGGTGTACACAAGAGTTGTGGTGCAGATCGCCACTACATGCTTCTCTTACATGGCCGCGGTCATCCCTAGGCATTCCCAGGCGGCGCCGGCGCGGAACGTGACGTCAAAGGAGGGGGAGGCGGGGCGCGCGGGGCCGGTGACGGCAGCCATCGCGGAAAATAATAAATATGTATATATATGCATATATATATATACATAAAAATCAAAACAAAAAAAAAACGATTCAGCTCTGTGAGGGTGGCTGGCAGGCAGGGGTCGCCAGAGGCGCTTCGTGCAGCTGCGCAGGAGGAGTCTCCCTCATGGGAGGTCTGCCGGGCCTTCGGGGGAGGCCGTGTCTGGCATGCCCGAGAGAGGCGCGACGGCGGTCAGAGGAGCCCCTCGCGTGCACCGCCTGGCCGGGATCTTGGGGGTTGTTGGCAGGCAGAGGGGGCTCCTTGGAGGCATGTCGTGGGCCTCCTCCTACTCTTCCCCATCATCACCTTCGGCAAGTCATCATCATCGGCAGCATCATCATCTGATCCTATATATGCCACCCACAGTGGCCATACCCAGCTTCCACCTCCCCCAACCCCAGAACCCTTCCCTATCCTCCTCGACTGCGTTCTTTCCATCCGCCTCCGCCCCATTCCCTTCACAGCGCCTCTTATCCCCCAGCTTTTGGAAGTGACGGAGGGATTTGCTGGAATTTGTTGATATCGACGCAGCGGCACGAACATTACAAAGGAATATGCGGAGGATGATGAGGAGAAGAAGACAGTGACGAAGAGGCGAAGGTGCACAAGTAGGAAGATCCATATTGGAACCCGCGTGAAGATCAAGATGAGCATTTGTGGGAGCGGTGAGAGGGACAAAGACGATACGTCTTATCATACGGGCCATGATGCGCACGTAACGAGGAGGATGATTAAAAAGAGGGGGAGCAGGAGGAAAGAGCGAGGGAGGAGCCGCAAAGACGAGGAGGGGGAGGATGAAGAGGTGGGGAAGGAGGAGAGAAGGGGGAGGAGGAGGAGGGGAGGAGGGAGAGAAGGGGAGGAGGAGGAGGAGGAGGAGGAGGAGGAGGAGGAGGAGGAGCAGCAGCAGCAGGAACAAGGGGAGGAGGAGGAGGAGGAGCAGCAGCAGCGAACGCAGCAGCAGAAGGGGCGGGGAGCGTATGGCCAGTGGCTGCACGTGCTCGCCTGGCTTCCTCCGCTCCCCCCGCGGCCGCTCGAGCACACCTCCCCGCGCGCGACTGAGCGGGCGCCCACCCATCGCTCCTTCGGCGAAGCAGCATCTCGCGAAGCCCTGCGGCGAGGCCCCCGAGGGGCGGGGACGGCCGGGGGTGGCTCGGCCCAAGCCCCGTCGGTGACCTGCGAGGAAAAACGGTCGCGCTGGGCGTGTGCTGCCTCTGGGCATTCGGCCGCCAGAGGTCGCCCTTGGGCCCCAAGCCGTCAGGAACAAAAACAAGCTCGGCGTGAAGCGCACGTCCCGGGAGGAGGTCAAGAGGTCTGGGGGCCCACGTTGGAAAGAATCGGGTCGTCGGAGACGCGGCTGCGAGCGCCGCAGTGGAAGCGGAGGAGGATGAGGAGGAGGAGGAAGCGGAGGAGGGAGAGAACGAAGGACGTCTGTTAGGAGGTTTTCGGGGGGGGCTCCGTTATCCTAGGTTCCCGCCCGCTCCTGGGGTTTCGGGAGGGTGCTCCTCGTCTGTTTCACCCTCCTCCACCTCCTCCTCCTCCTCCTTTTCCTCCTCTTCCTCCTCCTCCTCCTCCTCCTCTTCCGTTTCCTCCTCCTCCTACTCCTCTTCTTCCTTCCCCTACTCCTCCTCCTCCTCCTCCTCCTCCTCTTCCTCCTCCTCCTCCTCCTCCTCCTCCTCCTCCTCCTCCTCCTTCTCCTCCTCCAAGTCTGCTTCCTCGTCGTGCTCATCCTTCTCCTCCTCTTCCTCCTCCTCACCATCATCATCAATCAACATCATCATCATCATCTTCATCATCATCACCATCATCATCATCATCATCATCACCATCATCACCATCATCACCATCATCACCATTTTTTTCTGAGCCAGATGTAGACTTCAGCTGCGTTGCGGCTATTTCATCCCAGTGCGCGTCCTGGTGGTCGTCGTTGGCTTGCCCGCGTAACGGGTGACACGCCCGAGTCGCCCGTTACGGTCTGTTGGTGTGTTCCGATTCGGAGTGTGACCGGCACCCCACTTCCCAACCCAGGATGGTTCGTGTTGCAGCGCCGATGCGTCTTCAGGAAAGCTAAGATACAACGAAAGCATCACGAATGTTACACCAGCGTCGCTGGTTTCTCGGTCAAGTTTTTCCTCGCCTCGTTCGTCTGCTACCCGTTCACATTCAGATTTCACGCTCCACCGTTTTTCCCCCCTCCTCCTGATTCGAATAAGAGAACGCGCGCGCGCAGGCTGCCATGCTGGTTTACAGCGCGCACG